TTATTTAACATTTTTTTTTTCTTACGCACAAATCATTCGTACGAACAACAAAATGAGTTACATATAAAGACAATTTTTATCTTCTTTATTAATCTATACTCATTTATTTCATTTATAGAAAACAAATCTTTTATATAGAAGAAAAAATCATCAATATATCGAAAGAATTAATCATCTTGATTATTTAAGGATTTCTATTCTCTAAATAGTAGAAGGTTATCATATAGAAAATAGACGGTCGATGATTAATCTTCCTCTCTTCCTTAATTAACATTTGAGTTTAGATTTGAAATGATTTAATAATGATTAGAAGATAGTTAATGTTACCTATAGGAATCGAATAATGAAGATTAATCTACTTTCCCTATAGATAAGTCTATTCTGATTTGTTTATTAATAACAAAACAAAATTTGTCAAATAATATGAAAATAAAATCTTTTTGTTGATAATTTAATCGAATAGATGTTTTATATTAAAAAAATCAATTTGTTTTATCTATTGATATATTTTTAAAAAAAAAAGTATTTTATCAAAAAATCTTGATCATTTTCAATTAGTTTTATTTGTAAAAAAGAATTTTCTATTAAATAAAAATCTCTCGAATAATAATATATTAAAAATAATATAAACAGAAGTTAATTTGTTCGTAGAAAATCTTAATATTGATTTACTTATATATATTATCTTTATCAATGATAAGATTTTTAAAAAAGAAGATAAACAAATATATTCATATTAGATTTAATATAATTCTCTTTTTTTTTGTTTTCATTAAATAAACCTTATTAGAAAAGCAATCTTTATTTGATAAAAACAAATCGAAATAAATATATTTCTTATATATTCGAAAATGTCTAAGAGAAAAATCTTTTTAAAAGCAATCATCTACAGAAAAACATTCGAAAAAATCTATGAAACTGATCAGTCGTTGTAATGAAATTTTTATATTGACATATGATTTGGATAGAGGAACATTCAGATCTATAGTTCAAGACACAATACTAATTCTTATCGTTTCACATTCGAACGTTGAACCAACGAAATCATCTACTGGCTTACTCAAATAATACAAAATTGTGCTCATTTTAACCTAAATTTTGCAATTTTTTTTCAAAATTTTATCAGAATGGGAGACTATTTTCATACATTTTTTCAAATGTTTCCCGGAGATGATTTCTTTTAAAAAGATTTTGTCTTAGACATTTTCGGAGAAAAAGACGATCTTATGTCTCCTTTTTCGATTGCTGAAAATCGCAGGTCTCTAACTTGTTCCTATCGAAAGTTATTCGAAAAACATCCGAACGCACTGACTTATGGCGCCGATATTAGTTTTTGAAGAGAGTACAACTGATCTCTTGAAATATTTTCTAGAGAGAGAGCATCTAAAATAAGGATAGATGTGTTCGAGGAAAAAAATTTTAAACAATCTTTTCACCATTTCTCAGGAAGAACGATGCTTTTCTATAGGACCAAATCGGGTCCGCTTACGATCCCCACCTAATTGGATCCGATTGTGCTAAAAATTTCTTTGGAGATACGTTAGACTATATCTCAGAGGTAGTTTTTAACTTTTTTGAAAAATCTTCCTTTATTTGTTTTTTATAAGAGCAATACGCAAAGAGTTCGGATCCAAAATAGGGATATTGTCGTTCAGGATCCTATAAATTCGAATAACAAGGCCAAAAACGAAAATGATCAAATCTACCTCTAGAAAATACTTCGAACTATCTATAGGAAAAATTTCAGTCTAATCAGACAAAGTTAGACGAAGATCGTATGCAGGCACGATTGAGAAAACTCCTATTTTGCGTAACGCTAAGTAAAAGAAAAAGAGTTTCGATAGGATTCCAATGAAAAATAAATTTTTTTAAGTTGGGTAACTTTTGCAATAGTAACCTATTTAGGATCGAATGATGTCTTGAATTGCTCATCAGACATGGTCTTATCAAAGGTTATGCCTTGCTCGAAATCTTGTTTTTGGAAAAAAAAGAGGAGGGATGTACTCTTAAATCAAATAAATATAATAAATCATATTTTCTTTGCTTTTTATTTTAAAATCTATGCAACTATTTTAAATAATATGATCATCAAACTTTTTTATTTATTGAAAATTATTTATTATTTATCATATTGAAATAATCGAGATTTTTAGTATTATTCAAGTTAAATAGATAATCTATCTAATAAAGAGCATCAGAAATCATTTAGAATATTTCTACAATTGAACTTCTTAGATCGACAGATATTAATGAGGATACTCTTTTTTTTTAAAACGTTTAACATTTATTTATTATTTCGATCATAAAAACTATTAGACCGATCTGACAATAAACAAATCTGATTAAGTTTTGTCTCTCATGAAAATTTTTAAGTTGAAATTTGAATATGAGTTTTTGTTTTACTTGTCAAGTAAACAATCGAATTAACTTGAACATTCTTCTCAAACTTGTCTATATGATAAACAAGAGAGATTAAAAATATAAAGTATTTTTCCTATATTCTTAACATGATTTATATAAAAATAATCAATCGAATAACGAATAAATACTGACATAAATAAATGGTAACAGTTTTATTCTAGAATCAATTTTATTTTCGTCGATATTTACTCTTAAATAGATTGAATTTGTTAGTATGTTATTCCTAAGAGAGATATTATATCGAGATAATTGAAATAAAATAAGAATTTTTTTATTGACAAAAAAAAACAAAAAGTAAAAAAAAAATGTTTATTAAGATTTAATTGAAACGGGTTTAAATGAATGTACATTAATTGGTGAAAGAGATGATATTGAAAATGAAATAAATTTAAATGAAAATGAAGATATTGTTTTCGAAAGAAATGATGATAAACAAATTAATTTTGATAATATTAAATTAAAACCATTAAAACTAACTAATGATGATGATAATGATAATGATGATGATGATGATCAATCATCAAGAATATCAAATCAATTTGAACAAACAATAAATGAAGATATTAAAAATAATTTACTTAAAAGAGCTACATCAATAACAAATAAATTAACAGATACTTTTAATCGTTTAACATCATCATCATCACCAACATCAATAACAATAAATAATATTAATAATAATTATTCAATTGATCAATATCAATTTTCATATGATTTATTTAAAAAAGTAATTTTTTATTATTTTATTAAATTAAAAAAAAAACAATTTTATTTAAGAATAATCTTCTTCATCCTTATATATCAATACATTCTCTTGATATGATTAATAATTCAAATATAAATTCATATTTAATTGGTGCAAGTAATCGTTTATTTCGTCAACAAAATAATATTGATTTTATATTAACTGATTATGATGAAGATTTTATTATTCAATCATCATTATTAAAACAACAATTACAATTAACAACAGCTGATTTAAGATTTACTCAATTATTTGAAGATTCACAATCAAGTTTGTTTTGTTTTTTTTTATATTTTTATTTGATTTTTTATTCTTTTTTGAACAATAAAATAAGATGTTCAATCTGAAGAAGAAATTCGTCGTTTATTTAAAATCTATCTATTATCATTATTATGTGTAACTCGAACTCCTAGTAAGTCATTTATTTCATAGAATTTTTTCAATGTTTTTCTTCTTTTTTTTTTAAATAAAAGATGATGAAGCAATTAATGATTTTAATCCATTATTTGTTAAATCATTTCAATCAACAGATGCATTTCGTTTATGGCAATCGAAAGGACCTTATCCATATATTGATCAAATTATTCCACGGTTTTATTATTTTTATTTATTATGTAATAGATATAAAATAAATGCATTTTTAGACATCCACAAGCAGGACAACTTAATGTAACTGATGTTAAATTACGTGTTGCTCAGTATGTATTTATTTCTGTTTTTTTTTATTAAAATAAAAAATTCTTTTTAAAGTGTTCTTGATGATACTGAAACTGGTAGAAAACTAAAAGGTGCATTTGAAGATACATCTCAATTTATGGGTGAAAAATCTCGAGCAGCAACTAAAGTACTTGGACAAGCAAAAAATTCTCTATTTAGTTCAGTTATTGGAACATTTAATCAAGGTAAACAATGGTTATCAAAAGGTCAACCATCACCTCCATCATCGGATTAACATTTTATTTTTTGTCAAATAATTATTTCATCGTGTCATTTCTCTTTCATCTTTTTCAAATTATATTTATCTTCATATTCCAATATATCTTCGTCTTTTTTTTCTTTTTTATTCTCAATAAACTTCCTTTCGATTTTATCGAATTCATTGGTTTTTTTTCAATATGATTTTATATCAAATTTCAATTTATTTTATTTCAAAATCGATTTTGATATTCATCATTAAAGAATTCTTCTTCGAAAAAGTAACATTTTCAATAGATTATTTTCAATTCTGATTAACTCATTTAACATTTATCATCAAATAGATATTTTACATCCTATCGATAATAATTATTAAATTTCATATACGACAATAAAACAATCAACTTTAATAATCTCTTTCAATATTAACTCATTTGGACATTTTGAAAGAGAGGAAAAGAAAAAAAGATATTAACCATGTAGCTCTCTAGTAATTACCAATTAAAAACCACCCGGGACGAACAATCCGACAGTCGAATCCCGTCAGATCCTATCGGAAAAATTATCGGATTTTACCGGACCTGATAAGAATTCGACTGAATTTGTCGGAATCCTTGGTATTGGATTCCGACAGGAAGTTGTCGGATGTCGGAAGTAGTCAGGATCCTATCGAAACCCTAGAAATCCGACACTTTTTAACATCCGACAACTTCCAACGAATTCATATCGGATCCGATGGGGTAAGTTCGACCTGGACAGAGCTAACAATGCAGATTAAATGGCGTTGGTTATAGCGTTACCGTGCCAATCTTATTGTAGAAATCAATCATTAAATTATGTTTCATAGAGGGCAAATATAGCTCAAGATGGAAATTAATATCTTGCCCTTATTCTTCGTAAAGTTGTTTTAAATCTCAATATGTCAGATGAAATTGGAAACGATAACGCTCCTGCTAATGCTGAAGCTGCTATTTCACTAGAAGGTAAAAATATCGCAGCTAATAACGAAGCTTCTTCTGAAGGGGCGCACTTTGGAAGTGACCATGATTCTCGTTCCTCTCCACCATCAGGTAGTGATCATGTATGTAATACTTGAAACTTGAATTCAAGTATTCAACTATTGAACTGAACTATTCAAATTTTAACCTCTCAAGTGTTCTGTGGATATTCAGTGGGGAAGCGCGTTTCTCCACCTAACACATCTTTTATTTCAGCGGCGCGGTGTGGGAGTGCTTCGCGCCCCCCATCTCCCCCGAAGACCCGCGACCCATGCATGTCTCTGTGTACACCATTATTCCTACTCAGTACTTCACAGTAGCTCAAGATTCTCACAAACTTCTTGTAGTATCCCAGATAATGTCTGGAGCATCTCAACTGAAGCCTGTAGTATCCTATGAAATGCTTGTCGTATCCTATGGAATGCCTGTAGCATCCTAGGGAATGTTTGTAGCATCCTACAGGATGGTTGAAGCATCATAGGGGATACTTGTGGTCTTCTAGATGATGCTAGTGACATTCTAGAGGATGCTTTTATCATCCTAGATAATGCTTGTACCATTCTACGTGATGCTAGTGGCATTCTAGAGGATGCTTGTAGCATTCTAGGTGCTGCTTGCAGCATTCCAGGCAATACCTGTCGATCTTAGATGATTCTAGTATCATTCCAGACGTTGACTAATTGAGTACTTGAATAGTTGAACTGATAGTTAAATACTTGAATTCAACTTTCTAGTTTGACACTACTGCTTATTATTTAACTGAGAACATATTTTTGTTTTTCTTTTTATTCATTCAGTAACAAGAAAAGATCAAAATTTTGTTTTAATTTTAACAAATAACAACAAAAAGAAAAATATAGATAATATCGTCCTATATATAATACAAATGTTGATGAACAGACGAAAACCAGAATATCAATCCGATTGTCGAATTAAGTTCTTTGCTTCTTAGACATTTTTTTTGATTTCTCTAAAATTATAAAGAAACAAATAAATCTATTTCTTCTACGAAAATGCGGTATCTCGAAAACATTCCATCAATATCATAGTAAGTATTAACATTTTCCTTTGCAGCTTCAATCAATTTGGCTAAGTTGCGACGAAAAAAGAAAAGATCGTTTCTATTATTTCAAACATCCAAATGTGTATACTTACAAGAACTTTGGCTTTTTCCAAATGATCGAAAAGGTATTGTTTATGCAGTTCAGATTCTGTTCCTCTAAATAAATTTAAAAGCAAGTGTGATGATGACATAATATTTATCTTACAATTTCTTAAGAATAATATCTGGATCGACATATATATCATATTTGGCTTTTTGTAGAAGATTTATATCGAATAACATGTCTAAAAAAGAAACCAATCAAAGCAATAAATCTAATGCTGGTATCAAAGATAAGCGTCATTCTATTACCATTATAATTTAGAATTTGATGATAAACATTAATTCTTTTGGCACATGCCATGATGAATACGTCTATAATATCTTCATTTTGAAGATGGCACTTATGTTTACTTGCCTTGTCGATGATTTCTGTTAATTCCTAATAATACAGAATAGAAACATTTAATTTAAACCAAAAACTATTACATACTTTGATAGCTTCGTCCTCTTTCTTCTTATGTAAAAGTCTTTCTACCAACCCTAACTTCGTTGTTAACTCAGCTAGTAAATTTGATGTCATTTTATAAAACAGATGTTAATTAAAGACAATTGAAAAAAATATTTCAAGATATATTACAATTTGAAGCGAGATAAGTTGGGTGTGGGTGGGGTGGGTATGGAGGTGTGAGGGTGCGGGGTCGTGTGAGTGTGGGTGGGTGGGGTGTGAGTATCTTGTGAAAGAAGATTCATACCTACACCCACTAGTGAACTGCGGAGTCGCATTTTTTGATCCCGAAACCCGACCCGATTCCTAAACTTTTTTTTCTTCAATTCCGAAATCCGACCCGACTCCGAAAATATTGTTTTTGCGATTCCGATTCCAACTCCGACTCCGGTCAGAAATTTTTTCGTACCCCGACTCCGACTCCGAAAAACTCCGAAAATTTTTTGTGACTTAGGAGAGAATTTTTTTCAAATGCCCCCTTCGGATCTCAATGATTTTTTTGTCCATAGATATTACATTAAGTTCTAGTTAAAGTCCTAAAAAAAGATTTGGGTTCGTGTAGCTTCCTTCGTAGGTTATATGTATCTTTATTTTACTTCTACAAAACATAACCTATAACGTTCAAGAGATGGTTTGTCAGACCACTAATTAAGTCATATTTATTTCCATGTATGAAAGATTATATTAAGAAATTTATAAATTCGAAATATCAAATTATTTTGAAATATTTGTAAGAAGTATTAAGAAGCACAATCTTTGCTTTTCTCATGCTTATATCATGAAAATGTATTAAAAGCTGGTTTTTAAATATTAATGGCTATTTCGAAAATATTTTTCTCTAAGACCGTCTTATAAATCCAGAAAAGGTCTTAAAAGGGGCAGAATAGAATACTCTATAGAATGTGGTATACCAGTTTTCATAACAATGATTGTTAGTAGTTGATAGTACTTTCACAAAAAAAAAAAGGAGTGTATGCTTCGTAGTCATTCTTTTGCCTTTTTGTTCGTGACTTAGACGAGTAATGGCATCGCAAAAAACTGAATCAAGTTTCTATAAACCCTTGATACTGCACTTTTAAAAATTCTTTTCTGGATCATTGAGACGATATTAGATACAAAAATTTTCAAAATAACAATCGGTGTGTAAAAACAACTTTTTATTGTTTTCATAATCTAATGACAAAGGAAATCAAGGTTGTACTTCTTGGTGTTTTTTCACAAGCGCTTCGAAATAACTAGAAATAAATATTTTATGAGATCTGAATTAATTGGTGTTCTAGCGAACCATTTCTTGAACAGTATATGTTGTATCTTATCGAAGTAAAAGAAGTATACGTATAGCTTTTGAAGAAAGCGACGAGAATCCATATTTTTTCAGGGTTTTTACCAGGACATTACGTAACATTTGTAGACGAAAATTCATTGGAATCTGAAGGGTATCTGAAAAGGTTCTCTCGTTCAACAGTAACTTCAAAAAAAATTTCTTTCAATATTAAACAGGTGAACCCACCAGAGACAAGCTCGAAATTCGGAGTTCAGTTGAGTTTTTTTACTCCGACTCCGACTCCGAAATTTTTTTCGTCTTAATTCCGATTCCTACTCCGATTCCGAGAATTTCTGTTTTTTGATTCCGATTCCGACTCCGACTCCGCCGGAGTCGGAGTCGGAATCGGGTTTAGGACTCCGGTGCAGTTCACTAACACCCACACATCTTCAACCTCAAGATTTTGATAATTTACATGGTCGATTACATGATTTATTAGGATTAACTGATACGAAAGATGATCCTGATGAAAAGAAGATGTCAACATCACCATTAATTGATACGAGTCAATATGATGTATTTGAAAGCATGGTGGCTGATCTTCGACGAATTGGAAAGTCGCTTATAATGGGACACCGTCTTTTATCTGTACGATTAAACAACGTGGAGAATGAATTAAATGATGTCAAACGTTTATTATTTGAAAATGAATTTAAAAAACTTTGTTTTCTTGTACCAACACCGCTTAAAAAGATTGGTGAAACAATTTCGTACTCGGAATTTACGCATTGATCCATTAGATAACATATTATTAGCATTAAGATCGAATGATTATCATATTGATCCAATTAATAAAACTTTATATTATGGGGTAAAAGAAATTTATATAAAACTTGCACAAGATATTTGAATATTCGATGAAGATTTAATCGAAGTCATTGTTGTACGTCTACAAAGAAACATACAACAATATGAATCGTTGAACGAATATGTCAATGAATGTAAAGCATCAAATATTAGACCAAAATTTGAAAACTTAGTAGAACAGATGGATTTAACTTCATTATTTAAATATAAAACATCGCAAATGCGGATTTTAGAAAAAATTTTCGACTTTTACGTTTGTGTTATGTAGATTTTTTTGTGAAGAAAACTATCTCTTTCTCGTCATCATTCTTCATTATTGTTCATATCAAGTAGATCCTCATAAATTATCTTCTTTTTTTATTGATTGTCCTTACAAAAATGTATTTAAGTTGGTGTTAAATAGATAAAACATGTTCTTTGACATAAACAGTATTTCTTGGTCTCTTTTTACTTTATCTTATAAATAAAATGTTACTATTCGAATGATTTTCTTCATTTTCAATTTATAGCAAACACAGATAATCATAAAAAAAACATATCAATAATAAACATGAAGGTTAAAATAATCATCACTTGGACAAATATATATTATATAACGAGACATTAACGAGAATCAATATTTGTCAAGAATAGATATGTTACCTTTCATTTAATCATATATGTTTATGCTTTTATATATAAGAAAACTTGACAATCAAAAGATATTAAATCATTTTAACCGAAAAACTAAACATCTATCAAATGAAATTTATTTTTTATATTTATAGGAAAACCAATTATTTTTAACGGTTAACTATAATCAAATAGAATTTTTATTTATTTTTATGTGCTTATTTGTTCATAAGAAATTAAAAATTCAAAGAAAGTTTCTTTTTGTTTCAACCAACTTGTTTTTTTCTAAAATAATCTTTAGAGAATATTTGATTGGACGCAGAGATGTCCATCGCGCCGCCGCGGTCGCGGTTGGCGGCGCGGCGGCGGCTTTTAATTTTTTTAGCCGCCGCGGCACGATTTTTTTGCAGAAATTTACTCTATATTATAAAAAAATTTCCAGCTTCACAGCTGAAATTAAACTAGTCTTTCACATAAAGTAGACAAATTAAATTCTTTTTCTAAATGTTGCATTTTACGGTGATTTTAAAGTGCGGAGACTAATAAAAGCTTTAAGCTTATCTAAGTTAATTACGTTGGTACGAAAAATATACTGATTACAATATGAAGATTCTTTTGTTGTTCCATGAAGAACTTAAATAGTCAATGTGATCTCAGAAGCTATACTTTTTCTATATACACTTAGAAATTATTTGTTACTATACCATCTAAACCGTTATTCCTCATTGATTTCGAGTGAAAACCAGACTGCATGACTATTGTAGACCGATAAATGGCATTTTTTCTTCATGTAATGGTAGTAGCGGTGCTGTAACCTTTTCTTCAAATATCGCTGCAACAACGGCAATGTTTTTAGTATGTTGAGATGCAGAAGCACCGCGGCAACATGTATTTTATGTAATACAGCGGCGCGGCAGCTTTTGGTTTTATACCACAGCGACACGGTAGCGGCACGGCAGCTTACACGTTTTATATCATCGCGGCGCGGCAGCGGCAGGTTTTCAGCCGCGATGGACATCTCTGACTCTCACCGAGAGAATAATCAATTTAAAATATGAGTGACCATTGGTGTGCCCAGAACAAGTTATTTAAATTTCAACGTATATGAAATTCAGGTATAAAAATGAATCAAAAAAGGTTTTCTTCACTATTGTAAGGACAAAACATAGTGTTGTTCGGGGCGATTATGGTGTTTGTAGGGACTCTCTTTCATATGGCCTGAACACAAGGGGGAAACATCGTACTTTTGTACTTCACGTACTTGACGTACTTTAACGTATTTTATTGTACTTTAAAGTATTTTAAGCAAGGGGAAAAAAGCTGATTCTGCGATTCCATTGATTCTATTGATTCCATTGATTCTATTGATTCCATTGATTCAAATGATTCCATTGATTCTATTGCTTCTATGGATTCCAGAATATGTATGAATACAATGATCTTGGTCCACTATTATGTTGTCCTTTTGGGTTTTCGTCATTGCGGTTTCGACCAATCAGATTTTTTGATGCCGCAGCTTCGGTCAATCAGACTTTTTCATGTCGCGAATTTGACCAATCAGATTTTTTCATGCCGCAGTTTCGGCCAATCGAATATTTTCACACGGCGATTTTGGCCAATCAGATGTTGTCCAGAAAACACCTGGGTGGCTGGAACCGCGGGGTGAAAATATCCGATTGGCCGAAGCTGGGGCATAAAAAAATCTGATTGGTGGAAACCATCGCATGAAAAAATCTGATTGGCCGAAGCTACGACATGAAAAAATCTCGTAGGTTGAAAACACCGCATGAAAAAATATGATTGGTGGAAACCACCGCATGAAAAAATATGATTAGTGGAAACCACCGCATGAAAATAGTTTATTGAGCGAAACCGTTGCATGAAAAAAACCTAATTGGCCAACATCAACAGACATTTTTTCATGTTTGATTCCATAAGATTCCATGTGATTCACAGTGATTCTGATTGATTCCATTGATTCTATTGATTCCAACTGATTTCGACCTCCAGCATCAGCTTTTTCCCCTTGATTTTAAGGTACTTTAAAGCACAAAAGTACGATGTTTCCCCCCTTGGGAAAAACAAATAATCTTTTTTTTTATCTCAACGTTAAAAACTGTTGACCAGAAAAATAAATTTCAGTGAACATGTTCGCTGTTTATATTTTTCAGGATGAATAGACGATCAATACAGATTACAGTTTAGAGATAATAAAGTAGGCAGAAACGCAAGTGAAAGAATGATAATGTTTATGAATAGTTCAAATAGAATAGATTTTGTAACACGCGAATAATTTATGTCAATTAATGAATAACATGTATTAGATAGACCTGCTAAGTAGAATAATATACTTCATAAAATTCCTAAAAAAAAACAGAATTGTATTAGCAAAAAAAATGGTTTATTTTCATTTCTCAGCTCTAAATATTCTCTGAAAATTTTCCTTTATGATCTGTTCCAGAAATCATTTTTAAACCTATCATTGAGTTATTTCTCGAATCAGAATAGAATTCTATATAATAAACCAATACATTGGGATGAGATTAGACCTATGACTGTCAAAAACTTAATGATGTAGAGGCATCATGTTTCTTATTCCATTTTTTTCTTAAGGTTATTCTGTTTTGTCTGTATTTTTCTGCAGAAGTTGTGGGAAAATACAAATGAAATAGAATAACCTTTTAAATGATAAATTAAGTAACTAATGGTTGTGCATTATAGAATTGATAGGTCGAATCTGTCTCCAGCCAATGCACGAGCAAGTAATTCTGTATCATCAAATATTATAATGAGACAACCGTACGGCTTGTCCGGCTAACGGTCAACCAGACTGATTAAAATAGAACCTATCTATTTCTCAAGACTGACTATATCATGTTGTAGAGAATACTTTGCTCTGTCAGAAAATGTAGTCGTTTCTTTTTTTTTCTCACAAAGAAGAGAAAAGCTGCACGACAGACAACATAGGTAGACTTCTTGAAATATCTATACGTTTTCGTGCTTTTGAAGAAACTTTTGAAAAAAGAACAGAATTTTAACTAAAAATTGAAGCGTCATATATATTACGCATGGCGAAGTTTGGACTTTCTTCTGATATAATTTTCAGCTGCTTTATGAGTAATAGAAAAAAACAGGGAATATCTGAAAACTTCATAGAATCTGCAGTGAGTGCGTTGCCGATTAGGGCTTTTAGTTTAGTTTACGCCACAATCATACAAGCATTTAAGTTGATACTTAAGAACTTCCGTTACTTTTCCATGGACTATCAAATGGCCAGGTTGGTTTTTACTTACATATTTTTTCTGCCGAAAAAAATGGTAACGCACTCACCTTACCAACCCACTTCCATGTTTTAAACCCCATATATGTATGTTGGATGGGATGGATTGCTTCTATAATAAATGGCTTTCAATATGATTTATTAATGTTGCTATCTTATAGAGATGTCAACAAGCCATGATTTCTCTTGGTTTCAAGTATCAGGCTTTAGGTTAAATTAGATCTGGCAGGTAGACCTACGATCGGAGCTTAGAAGTTCACCAATCCGTATTTGATCGGTTAATATGTTAACTGAAGATACGTGTGAATTACATTTTGCACCTTCATCATATATTTAATAGAAATCTCGACTGGCTATTTTCTCCTTTTCCGCAAAGAAATGACAAAATGAAGCAAAAACCGAAACCATTACTCGGTTGAAATATGGCATAAAAACTTAATAGATGAATATTTCAACTAGAACAATTTTTCAATAATATTTTGTCAAAGAAATAGATATAAAATTCATACATTCTTGTTTCTGGACGAAATATGCTCTTCAGTATCGATTATAAGAGTGATTTAACAGATAACAGAAAAGTACTTGTGATATACTAACAGTTATGGAAGCAAAAACATTAGCTCTACGACACTATTTCGTATCCTATTTTTTATTGTGAAATCTTGTATAATTTTGCTACCAAAGTCGAAGAAAGCTATTGTAACCCGTCTAAAGTGTGAGAGAAAACAACAAGTCCACCAGGAAAAAAAATTAGGATATGAAAAAGTGAGTGCGTTACCGTAGTATTTTGACTACAGGTCTAAAGCAGCACAATATTTTTAAAAGATTGTTTTACCATTAGATAGCCTTAATTTTCTGCTACAAACTTTGTATGAATCATATCTCTTAATAACTGAACCATTCGCAGGAATCTTAACATTTCTGATACCACTAAGAAAGGGAAGGGCCTTTTTTGTGAGTGCGTTACCGTCCTGTATTTTCCTTGTAAAATTTGAATAATAAAGCCGATTGAGGTGAAACTTATAGTGGTTGTACAATTTTGCAAGGTGCATATATGCACCAAGTTTCAAGGCTTTACGCATTACCGTTAGAGAGAAATTCAAATCAAAACTTGACAAAACGTGAGTGTGTTACCTGCGGACAGGTCGCGTAGTCATTTTTTTATAAACAGTGAAAAATGATGTCTCAATAATAAGAGTGAAATTCAAAATTCTTTTTCGGCTACGGTAATTAGAATATCACATTTGTACAAATATCTGTTATATCCAAGGTACAATGTTGAATCATCTTTTTAACTTGTACATAATAATAAGGATTCAGTTATTTGCCTGTTTGGATCATGCATATAGTTGAAGATGTTGAGATAATTGTATGAAAACAATTCGTAGAAAATGAATATTAATACTACTAAATTTTCCTAGTCATAATTCTTTTTGCATCTACTTTTCTTCAATCGTACAGCAGCAGCTTTACATGACATTTTACATTATCTAATTACTGAAAATCGAAAAAAAAAAGAAATATGCAGTTGATTAAAATGATTAAATGAATACCGAAGTTTTTTTTTTCTTTCCAAAACTAACGTTTTCACTCGGTAACACAAATGAATTTTCCTACGTAAACGAAAAAGAAATATTTTAGCTATTTGAAAAATTCTAAGATCCTTTCTGAAATGTGTATCTATCAATTATTTTTATTTGCATCCAGTTTAGACTAGCACTTGATATTATAAAAAATATGAAAAATTTGCGATCAGCCTGCTATATAATTTAGTGCGTACTACAATTGGTTTTAAAAAATTGAGTTTTGCTTTATATATTTATAGAATAATAATTATTTATGAATGACAGTCCATGTCCCGTCAATATTAGTTAGTTGAAAGATAACAGAATACAAAGAGAATAAGGTATAGCATGGAATACGATCTGATTGGTTTAAACTAGCAAGGATAAGTTACATTCACTATTGTATGCAATGTGTAAATGTAGCTCATCTCGACCACCATGCACATTATTCAGTAGATCATATATATGACATGATAGAATTTATTTCTAGATGAATAATTCATCAATTCATGCTGAACCATTTGCTGATAATACTCGACAATCATTGTCATTAACAACAAATAATAATGCATCAATACCATTACAAAAAAAAGCAAGAAAAAACAAAATCAAAAGCAAGAAAAAAAAACAAAAAAAAAATCCTAATGATAAATGTGTACTTCAAATTCAACGTAGTCCTTTCGAAACAAAATTCAATACAGTAAGTCTCACTTCGTGAATTTTTATGCAATCAAATTTATTTTTACTGCTTTTCAGATTGCAACACCTACAGAAAAAAAAGTTCTTGCATCATTAATGTTATCAACTCATTCATCAAAAATTGATTATGATAAATCACATTCATCTAATAGCGATTGTACCAAAATTGATCAATTAACAAATGAAGTATCAGATGATAATATTAGTCTTGAAGAAAGTTATTCATATGCTGATATTAAACCTCAAAAAAGTCCTTCAAATATAGATAATAAACTTCAAAAAGGTTATTCAAATGTTGTTGAAAAACAACGTGATGATGCTGAACTTCTATACAACGACAATCTTGGTAAATCTTTAAATCGGAAATAAAATTGACTGTTAGAAACTACTAATATATGATATTTCATTTTTTTTAGGGATGCATCAAATGAAACTGCTTCTAGATGAATTAAAAGGTGAATTAAAAGGTGAATTTAATAAAAGATTTGATCAACTCGACACACAAATTAAGAATGTTGAACAAAGGATAGAAAATGTGAATGAAAAAGTTAACAAAAAAATTGATAAACTTTCTCAAAAAATTGATAACATTTATGAAACAAATGCAATACAAGTAATATTAAATCGTCTTCGTGCTGATCATAATCTTGACGTTCCTTACATGCCAACTAATCGAATCTTCAGTGAAAATTATTCTACATATACGAAAAGTTTATTTAATCGTTTTCAAAATTATGCAAAACAGCATTATCAACATTTATGGACAAAAATTCATAAAGATATATCAATTTCTACTCAACCAGAACAAATGGAATTCGATATTTTAGGTTTTAGTTTTGAACATTCATCAAAAGAACGTACACTTATTGGATCTCCAAATTTACAACCTGTTTTGGCACCATCATCATATAGCTATTTAAAACCATTTAGGGCAAATACAGTAATAATTGCTGAAGTTACTACCTCATTCCTGACTTTTCATAATGATCATCTTTTACTTTGCGAAAAAAAGGTATTGGTTTATCAACATTTCAGAATTTATTTCTAATACTATCTATTATATCATTATTTATTCTAGGGTAGATCAAGTCAAACCAATACTGAAAGAAAAAACTCATCATTTAAGTTGTTCCAAAAGCTTCTTCAGCTAGAACGTGGTCTTGCATTTATTTTATTATATTATAATATTCAATTGGAACATGTACTGGTTGTACTTTTTGGACGGTTTAATTATTCAAAAAACCATCGATCACCTGACTACATATATCGAATGTTATTTGAATCTTCATTTTCAAAAAACATTCCTTTATTACATAAATTATATCTGCGTGATCGTGATGAACAAAATAAACAACTTTATTTTATTTGTTAGAATAAATATTTAGAACTTTTCTCTTTTGATAAAAATAACAGATAATCGATTAGAAATTTATCAGAGGCAGTGTCATTAAGCTATCGTCGTGATGAAAGATCTTAATCGTAATATGAATATTACTGCATTAGATAGAAAACTTCCTTGCCTATTTAAATCATTATCTATAGATATGAATTAGATATTTAATATTATAGAAAAGAATCCAAAAAGAAATTTGTTAGTTATTAAACGTCTTTTTTTCATGACTTTACTACTGAATGTGCATTAAATTTTAGCCATCAGGTAAGTTTTGATCAGAAATTAATATGGATAAATAGAGACATAAAGAAACTTGATAATAATTTATTATTATTTCAAATTGTTTTGGTTCAATAGATGGTATATGAATTAAATTTGGGTGGTTTTAATATGTTTCTTCACCAATTACGTAAACATTTCTTTTGTTTTTTATGAAAATTTTTTATTAAATTAAAGCAATATTTAAATGCTATTCTTTCATCAGTTTGATAAATAATTAAATCATATGGGAGTGGCCAACCAAGGATACCCATTAATATTTTTTTTTCTATTGTAAGGATAAAACAAACTATTGTTCGGATCATATGAGAGAGGATCATAGATAACCTTGAATTGGCCCGAACAACATCATGTTTTATCCTTACAGTAGTAGCAAGAACCTATGAGCTGTCGTATGAGTTGACAGCTTTTCTCTACTACTGTAAGAATAAAACGTGATGTTGTTCGGGCCAATTCAAGTTTATCTATGATCCTCTCTCATATGACCTGACAAATAGTTTGTTTTATCTTTACAATAGAAAAAAAATATTAATGGGGACAACTAATAAAGATTTTCTTTCAAATTAAAATAATTATCCGTTCGTATATCGATCACCAGTTTGTTTCGATTTGATTAGTATTAGAAAGAGAGAAGATAATCATCTTATCTATATATAAAAGTACAGATTTCAAATGCATGTATTTAACATCTATGTCAATATCTCGAAAATTCATTGAAACTACATTCTATTATTATTATAGATTTTTTGGAGAGATTCTCAAAGATGATTTCACCTTGCATTATATTACATAAAAATATGTCTCGTTTCGGTCTCTTTTTATTTATGAAAATGACAGATTGTTATCTATTGCCATTCTCAAGATAATTGTCGTTGACTCATTCCTACTTAATTCTGGCACTAACAATAGTTAATATTGATCTATTATTGATCGATTCCGAACAATTTATTCAGATATTTCATCGACTTGATAGAACTTGAAAATTAGTCCGACAAGGTGTAAAAATAAAATGAAATAACCGTAAGGTCCAAAAAAAACCACTATCTTTTATATGAAGATAGTAAAGAAATTGTTGTTTTCTTTTTGCTGAAACTCATTTTGATAAAAAATCTCTTATTGAAATGTTCGACTATAGAAATAAAAAAGTTTATATGAAAAAAAATTGAATTATTAATTATAATATTTGTTTTAGTTGTAACGAGCTTGAACTTTTTTTCGTCACATTGAGAAAACAAAAAAAAGTTGAGATTTGTGCTAAAATAAACTGATCGAAAAGAATAAAGTTTGATCGGTTTCCTTGTGAATATTGTGTGAACTAATTGTCATCGAAAAGTTTTCAAAGACTTCATCCGAGTTGAGAGTTGAGAATTAAGTCGGTCTTCATTTTCTCGGTAACATATTATATTATTCGACTTTTATTCAATGAAGAAATATTTGTTTTTCATCAAATAATTCATTTTAAAACAAAAATTCTTTGTAAAAATTGAATAAAAACAAATAAATTTTCGATATAAAATATTTGAAAAGAATTTTTTGTAAAAAAAAAATATATTTGGAAATATTATCTAATTTTTATTTGCTTTTTCTTTAAGAAAACAAATCACCTTTATATGTAATTTATTTATAGATTTGTTTCTTTTTTTTATTGATAAATGGCTATTAAAAATCATGGATCATATCGATTTTTGTTGATGATTAATGTTGACTTTTGAAAAAAAAAACCGATTAAATCTCGAGAATAATTAATTATATTTCTATTAAATAAAAATGAATCAAATGAAAACGTTTTTTACAAAATAATTCGTTTTGTTTTGTTTTAAAGTAAATAAGAATTTATTCTTAAATATCATTTTTATAAATTCTTATGAAAATTTTTGAGAAGAAATATTCTTGAAATCTTTTTCAAATTTCTAATTGACTCTTTCAAGATTCAAAATTATCTTTTCATAGAAATCAAAACAGACTAAATTTTATAAAAAGACGTTTAAACCTTCTAATTCCACCTCTTCTTTTACCATTTTCATGTCTCTTTCGATAAGATTAAAAAAATCCTGCTTTCATTATAGAACTTCTCTGTAAGCACGCTTTAAAAAAGCAACTTTTCTATCTGAAAAACATCCAAATATTTTTCTCGCTAATGTTTTGACATATTTTACAAATAAAAGTGACTTTTTAATGCATTGTGTATATTGAAAATATGGTGAAAAAATGTTTTAGATGCTTTACAGATGAAAAATTTCCTTTTTTTTTTTACCGTCTTCATAGACCTTTTATGATGAAGGTAGCTCGGTTAGCTCTTTTATCAATCGATGTTACTATGCACAATGAGAAAACACGCACAATTAGGACGTTTAAAAATGTTCTCACGCATTTTTATCTGATTAAGATATATCTCCTTCTCATTTCAATGATTTTCGGGTTGACCTATAGATATAAAACAATGTTCTACGAAGAAGAATAAAACGATTGGAATTTCTATTGAAATAAATCTCTAGTTATAGAATTATCTATCTGTCTATTTTAAATAGATTCGTTTAGTAAAATATTATTTTTGAATATTGTTATGAAACAAATATTGACATAAATCTATGAGATATATTAACTTGTAGAGTGTGTTGTGTTTGATCATTTTTATAATAGATATGTTCGACCGTATGACCTTTTAAAAAAAGAAATTCTTTTCAAGTCTATTCAAATAAATAAAAAATATTTTGAAAAGTTTCGTTCTATTCAGATCTGAACTGTATATAAATGGTGAAATTCCATCAGAGAAAAATGCGAGAGTTGACCATTCCAAAAAAGAGACGATGGACGAATTTAATATGCTACTTGAACGTCGTTCGAACTAGTCCAATATCGATTTATTCGATTAATTTAATTTTTCAAGAAAAGAAAATGAATAAATGAATTAGAAAAAAGCAAAACAAGTTCCTTCGTTTGAAATAATTCTTATTTTCTAATATTTGAGAATATAACAAAGAACAATTAAATTAAGTTAGATATTATCATTAATCTATTCTATAATATAAATAAATATATTCAATATTCTATAAATTATTGTAAAAGTTGTTGAGTGTTCTATATATTATTTAAAAACTAATCTTGATTATATATTAGTTTGTTCGAACTAAAATCTATATGTCAAACTCGAATCTTTATTTGATATAAAATAAAAATCGATTAGTTTTATTTTATTTTATTTGAATATATAATGATAAATGTTATTATTTGTTTAATAAATAAAAAAAAATCTATTGAATTAATTGATATATTTAATGAGAAAACGAATAATTAAATGTTTTTCTAGGTTTTTGTTTAAATGAAACGTTTTTACAAAAAATCTATTGAGGAAAAAAAAGTAAGAGATAGAGTTAGTTCAGAAAATGTTGATCATCATTTGAATTTGAATTTATTTTTCGTTTTTTATTTGGTGATGTTTGTTGTACAACAAGTTGATGTCTTGTTAACATTCGATTGATTTTTGGTGTTGATGTTGATTGATCCGATCCATCATAGATATTTGTTCTTTTTATTATATCAATTAGATTTTATTTCTAACAAAAAGAAAAAAAAAAAAAAAAATCTTATTTTACTTTGTTAAACCATTTATATGATTATTTGTTCTTTTTCCATTTGGAGAATTTCTCTGAAAAACGAAAAAAAAATTTATTTAAATTAAATAAAAAAAATCTAAATAGCTGAACTGTTTGTTTTTTCTCATAATAATAATGTGGTGGTGTATGACTTCGTGTTCTTGAAGCAACAGTAGATTTATCATATTGAGAATAATTATCTGATAAATGATTTATTTCATCATCAGTTGAATCCCAACTTATACTAAATTATATTTTATATTCAATTTTATTCAAAATAAAATAATACATTTTTTCTTTTTATTACTCAGATGTTGTTAAATTACATCCAGTTGAACGTGTCATTCTTTGAGATTGAGACAAATTCTTAAATAAAACAAAAACAAAAAAATCCTTTTTTACAAATAAAACTAAAGAAAAAAAGAAAAAAATGGTTAAACATGATTATCTGATTGATAAATTCTTCTTCGTTTATAAAGTGGTTCTTTATTAAAAGTTGTTTTTGAAGATGTATTTGTTGATGATGATGATACACGACGAACAGAACGACGTTTTAAATTCGAATTTATTTCTTCTATTTGACTAGAAGATTCAAATGATTCATTTGAATCATTTGAACATATTGATGAACATTCATCAATTACATTTGATCTATTAAATATAAACAATATTTTTTTTTTTTTTTTTTTTATATTTAACTAACGGAGATCGACGACGACGTTTTTCATTATTTAATAATGAACTTTTTTTTCCTATTTATATTAAAAAAAAAACACAAAAAGGAAATAAATGAATTCTATATATATAAATTTATACTTGATGGAGATTGATCATTATCTTGATTTGATGATGTTGAACAACCAACTTCTTCTAATAAAGTTCGAATACCTTTAAATAAATCATTTCATTTTCTAACGTTTATTTTCGAGATTTTGTTTTATTTAAAAATTTCTCTAACGGAAGATATTATTTTAGATTTAAAAGTGATATAAATCAATTTTTATTTCTAAAGACTATTCGAATATATTTATTTATATAGAATATTAACTCAATTTATATATGAGAATAATTATTTTATTATTATCTCTATCATTATCAAATTAATCAATAATTAAATTTTATTTTCGAAAATAGAATATTTATTTAAATAAATATTATTTTATTCCTATAAAGTTAAATGAGATGATCTTAGATTATTTATATAATCTACTCTTTGTTTTCAATATATTATCAAAATAATAATAAGAAGAAAAAAAGGTAAACTAACGTCGATGATTGAAAATAAGTCTTTCATATTGATCAGCAGACAAAAAACGACTTATTTGATGAAGATCCATTCTAAATAAAAAAACAAATAAATTTAAAAATAAAAAAAAAAGCAAATTCTGATATTAAACTGTTGATCAGGTGAATAATTAAATCCAAGAGCATAATCTCTAATAAAATCTTTTAATTGTAATCTTCTTCTTAATATTTGACCATAAGAACGTAAAAGTGATAATTTAGCATTATCTAATAATATTGTTGAACCATCTTGTTGTGTTTGTTGTTGTTGTTGTTCTTGTTGTTGTTGTTGTTGTTGATTATATTGATGAAAAAGTTGATCATTATTAAAAAAAGGTAAACGATTTTCAGCTTGATTTAAATATTCTCTTTCATATTCATCTCTATATGGTAAATATGTTAATAATTTTTGTTGTTCACTATCAATTAACATTGGAGGATAAATTAAATATTTAATTTGAATATTTGATTTATTAATTAAATATTCTCCATATAATTGTTTATTATTTTTAAATGATTGAAAATAAATATAAAATGGACTTGTTGAACGTGATAAATAAATATCTTCAAAATGATTTTGAGAATCAAATTCATTTCGAGAGATTTTATAATCAATATCATTCCAATTTCCTAATCCACATGATTCAATTATTTCAATTAAATTTATTTCATCATTTGATAACCATGAACTTATTGAATTATCATCCAATGGTATATCATTTAACTTTTATTTTAATTAAATTAAATTAAATTAAATAAATTAAATAAATTATTAAATTATTACCTTATATGTTGATAATGGATGATGTTTAGCATGTTCTCGTAATTGATTAACATTAATTGAACATTTAAAACAAATATTTATTTGACGATATGGACTACATTTTAAACAATTTATTATTAATGATGATGGACGAATACAACAATAATCACATTTTGACATTTTTTTATATTAATATCTATTAGAATAAATATATTTACTTTTTTTATTTTAAAATCATTTCATAATTAGAACATTAGAATTTAATAAAAGAAAACGAATTGTTATCATAAGAGTGTTTATATATAGAAGATAAAAAATAAATTGAAATATTTCTTAACGATCGATATAGATTTTTTAAATTTAATATTATTTTAAAATGTCTCAGAGAATATAGTTAACATATTTAGATAATTTATTTCGATATTTTAGAAAATATTTACCAGATTTATTTTATAGAAAAGATAATTATCTATAAAAGGTAATCAACTATTTCATTTTTTTATTTTTCAAATATATTATAGAGATTAAAAATTTATTACTATATATTCAATCTTTATATAATAAGATAAACATCTCAAATCTCGATTAAATATACGAAAAAAAAAACACCGATATTTATGATAACTATATATAAGAATATATTTATGTTAGATATTCGTTCTGATAAAGATCTTATTTAATAACAATAGTAGAACATTTATCGACAATTGTTTGACTTATTCAATAAAAAAACAAAAAAAAAAAAATTTCTTTCGAATTCAATTGTCAATTATCATTTATAAATATCTATACTGATTGATTTATTATCTATAGAAATAAAATTTCTTTAAGAATAAATGATTATTAAGAGAAATAAAAACTCTCTTAACTATGATATTAAAATAAAAGATTTAATTTAGTTAAATAGATTTATTTTAAAATAAAAAATCTTATCTCATTAATAAATATTGTTTTTTTATTTTGAAATATTCAATGATAACATTGATTTAATCATATTGAAATAAATAATTAAAATAATAGTTATCGATATTAAATATAGAATTATATTAAGATTGATTTATACTTTATTTAACTTAATGATAAACAATAATAAATTATTTATTTTAATTAAAATATTCTCTTTTCAAATCTTTTTATATAAATATATATAAATATTCTCGATTGATTTAATTGATTAACTCAACTCAACCGAACAAAGATAGAATAGTTCGAAACCAATAAGATTTTTTAAAATCATTTTTTAAAAATAAATAAAAGAGGACGCTACTCGTTATTTATCTCAATTGAATAATAAAGATATCAATTCATATAATATATATTTATTATCTCCTTCCTTTTATTCTTAAAACAATTCTCAAAATGATTTTATTTTTAAATAAAAACGATATTAGAATTTTATTTTATTTCAAACCAATAGGTTAAACATATTAACAATTTTATTCGAAATATATATTATTTAATAATTTCACAAATTTTCACCTATTTAAACAAATATTTGGATCTGTTTTTTTTCATGGAAAAAAATTCTTCTTTTAATTGTTTCGAACAAAAAAACGTTTCGTCTGTTTATCAAAATATAAAACAAAAAAAAGAAATTATTGAAAATGAAATAAATAATCGTCATATGGAGTTGATAAGTGATTTGTTAATATTGTTTTTATTCTAAATATATCATAGATTTATTAATAAACAATTTCAATATAAAATAATAATATTATTATAGAAATAGATTTGTTATTCTAAAGGATAATAATATATATATTTAATTAAGATATAATCGATTTCAAAATAACTTAACGAAATTTTTATTGAATGAATTATTTTATTTATTTAATCAAAATTTATATCAATATTTAATAGAAAGGTTAAATCAGAACTAGACTAGTCTATCATTATTTATTGTTTTCATTAAAAAAAAAGACGAAAACGATATAAGATAATTTAAAAATCTCTCAATCAAACAAAATGACACGAAAACAATAAAAACGATAAAATTGTTTTTTATAATAAATCTTCTATTTCTAACCTTAGTATTCTTTTTTTCTCTGAATATATTTGTCAAAAAAGGTAATTGAATTGATTTATTTATTGATAGAAGTTCTCTGTAAAATATATCGTTAAAAAGTCGATTAGCAATAAAATAAATAAGGTGAACATATCTTATATAATATAATCTATCTTGTTTATATGAAAATAATTAATAAAAATATAGATTTTTATAATAAATAATATATTCAACTGAATGAAACTAATTTATTTAAATTGTTTGTTTTATTTCATTATATGAATATTAGTTCGAGTTATCTTAGCTCGAAGAATTTATCTTGTTTTTTTAAATAATTTTTTTTATTCGAATAATTATATTTATTTATGTATTTCGATAGATAAACTCTTATGGAATTTCGTTAAAAAAAATATTCAATAAATATTAATTTATCTAATATAAAAAAGATTTATTTTATGTTTTATTTATGATATATGTTAGGAGAAGATTTTTTTCTTTTTAAATTGTTTATTATGAAATATTGATCATCGTTTTATAGATATAATAAAAAAAAAAAACAAACGGATAGTTTTTATGATTTGATTATAAATTTCAAATAGAAAATAAATATATAAAAATTTTGATTATTATATAAATTGATTCGAGTTGAGAATGAATCATGTTCAATAGATTTATATTTTATATTGAAGATGATTAACGATCGAATTATTTCGATTATAGAATTAATTATATTTATCTTTAATAATCAATTGTTATAATCTACTCGTCAGTGATGACTAGATTTGATTTTTTTCGATGATTATTTTCATATGTTAACTATTAAATCATATAATTATTTCATCGATTCAAATATCATTCATAGATCTTTGTTTATATATAATCAACAATTTTTTAAATCATTTATTTAGCAAACAAGTATATCAAAGAATAATACATTATACCGAGTCGAACTTTTTTTCACCTTCTTGACATATGCAGATCTCAACATTTGTTTCAGAGCGCATCACTTCCTTTCCATTGACAATCACTTGAATGCTTTCATCACTTATAGATATAATCAAAACAAATGATGCGCTGAACACATAATAATTATAGTAATGAGCATCACCGAAAAGATTAAATGGAAAGCAATAAAATCAAAACTATTTAAGACGAAAGTAATGCTCTCCGCCATTTATGCTGTTTGAGGCTGATCTCTCCTCTGAACTTCCTTTCAAGTCTGTATATTAAGATACTTTTTATTTAAACTAAATTTTTATTGGAAATAGGATCGTTTTTGAACATGGGATTGAGAAAGAAGAAAAGAAAAGCATGTATAGAATATAATAAAAATTAATTTAATGCGCTAGAAAAATAAAACTAGAGGAGATGATGAAATTCAATCGAATGTTAATATCAGTTGTTTATGATCGAGACGGACTTGTTCTATTAATTTGTGCAGCTTGTAATATATTTCTTTTATGATGATATTTTAATTTTTGAACTAATACCTTAGGAATCTACTAAGTATACTAAAAATTGATCACCATTAGGCAATCGTTTGTCACATTTGTTTATAGACCTATAAAGTTTAACTTTGAGAGATGTAAGACAGGTGTTTAGCCATCATCATATTTCACAGTTCTACTTTTATTTTGTTGCCTGAACAAATAGCTTTCATGCATTGTTTAACAAAAAAAATGATTTGTTTGTCATTATTTCTTTTATGGTAAAGACATGGTAATGTTTCGAAGAAAAAAATTTCTTGATAGTATCAATATTTTTATTTTTCCTTGCCTATATAATCTTAACATTAAATAGTTAATGACTAAAGATATCGATATTGTAAAGATGATTGAAGAGTTCCAAAAGAGAAGATCTTCAATAGTCATGCATATTACACATATATGAACAAAAACTAAAGCAATAAAATAAGAAATTCAAGTAGTTGAACTCGAAAAAGGGTCTCAAGTCTTGTCTCAACATGTGTCCATAGCGAATGATTTTCTTGCTCAATAAAGTGAAATATATCGTGCGCATATCAAAAGATGTTTTGCACAGGTATAATAATAAACAATTATCTTGTTAAAATGAATAATTCTAAGAATAAAATGAAATAAAATAGTAAATATTCATATGTTAAATATGTTTATTCTATTATAAATGGTTTAAATGATTATTTATATAAGAATATTTAAGAGTAAATATATTTATTTTTAGATATTAAAATGATTTATTAAATAAATATCTCTATAATCGTCTTGATAATCTTTTTATGGTAAATATTGAATAAAAGAGGGATAATATATTGATAATTTATAATTAAACTCAATTTAAGATATAAAATTCTATTCTTATTCTTTTATCGAGATAGAAAAAGTCTAAAATATATTTAATATATTCTATTGGATTAAATCGTTTCAATATTGTTTTCGATTCTCTACTTAAATTTATAAAATTAGCTTTAAATTTGTGTGTCAAATATTTGAATAAAATCTATTTAAATTGTTTTCGATTTGTTTAAGAATTTCTTTAAATTTATATGAAATTTAAGAAAAGCCTTGTTACTCTATATAAGCAAATCGATTTTATTTTGATTATTTCCAAGAGAAAATTAAAATCTTGTTCATTTATTTGAAATTTCGATTAAAAACAATCTCATATTAAATCTATGAGATTGATGTTTTTTTTTTCGATGTCTATCGTTATATATGAGATGATTTTATCGAAAATAAATTTAATTTTTAAAATATTATTTAAAGAGAAATTAAAAATGAATATTTGGTTTGAAAGAATTTCAATAAAATATAATAAATGAATAAATATATTTTCTTTAAAATAAAGTATCTTTATTAGTTTTCGTTAAATAAAAAAAAAAGTCAATTCAATATAAAATCATATCAAAGTAAAAAAGTCAATAAAATGAATTTGTTTGTTTAAAATCGGTTATTCAAAGTTAAATTAGCATAAAAAACTAGAAAAAAAAAGTGAAATAAAAATTTTGGTCGTTATTGACATGAATATTTATTGTTGGTGAAGATGTCAAGAAAAAAAAGTCGAGGAGAGAAGAAAGACTGATTGTGAATAGTGTGTACTCTTGACGTGGATGCCAAAGAATACAAAAGAGAAAAGGGCAAACAGCAACAATTCTCCTCATTGTTAACTTTTCTTTTGTATTTTATAGTTAAAAAAGAAT